GAATAAAAGGGAGAAAAAGAAGAAAGAAAAAGAAAGAAAGGAAGGAAGGAAGGAAGAAAGGAAGAGGATAAAATAAAATAAAAAATAATTATTAAGAAAGATTTTTTTTTTTTTTTTTTAAAAAAAGCGGATGGGGGCCTCTCACTGTTGTGGCCTCTCCTGTTGTGGAGCACAGGCTCCGGACTCGCAGGCTCAGCGGCCACGGCCCACGGGCTCAGCCGCTCCGCGGCATGTGGGATCTTCCCAGACCGGGGCACGAACCCGTGTCCCCTGCATCGGCAGGCGGACTCTCAACCACTGCGCCACCAGGGAAAAGCAGAAAACAATTTTTTAAAGTAAAAAACAAACAACAAAAAAAACGGACGGACAGAACCCTAGGACAAATGGTGAAAGCAAAGCTATACAGACAAAATGTCACACAGAAGCATACGCATACATACTCACAAAAAGAGGAAAAAGGGAAGAAATAATATATCTTGCTCTCAAAGTCCACCTCCTCAATTTGGGATGATTCGTTGTCTATTCAGGCATTCCACCGATGCAGGGTACATCAAGTTGATTGTGGAGATTTAATCCGCTGCTCCTGAGGCTGCTGGGAGAAATTTCCCTTTCTCTTCTTTGTTCGCACAGTTCCCGTCTGTTCTTCGCTCAGACAGGACGGGGTTAAAGGAGCCGCTGATTCGGGGGTCTGGCTCACTCAGGCCAGGGGAGGGAGGGGTACGAATGCGGGGCAAGCCTGCGGCGGCAGAGACCGGCGAGATGTTGCACCAGCCTGAGGCGCGTCGTGCATTCTCCCGGGGAAGTTGTCCTTGGATCATGGGACCCTGGCAGTGGCGGGCTGCACAGGCTCCCGGCAGGGAAGGTGTGGATAGTGACCTGTGCTCGCACACAGGCTTCTTGGTGGCGGCAGCAGCCGCCTTAGCGTCCCATGCCCGTCTCTGGGGTCCGCGCTGATAGCCGCGGCTCGCGCCCGTCTCTGGAGCTCCTTTAAGCAGCGCTCTTAATTCCCTTTCCTCCCGCACCAGGAAACAAAGAGGGAAGAAAAAGTCTCTTGCCTCTTCGGCAGGTCCAGACGTTTCCCCGGACTCCCTCCCGGCTAGCCATGGTGCACTAGCTCCCTGCAGGCTGTGTTCACGCCGACCCCAGCCCTCTCCCTGCCATCCAACCAAAGCCCGAGCCTCAGCTCCCAGCTCCCGCCTGCCCCGGCGGGCGAGCAGACAAGCCTCTCGGGCTGGTGAGTGCCGGTCGGCACCGATCCTCTGTGCGGCAATCTCCCCGCTTTGCCCTCCGCACCCTGTTGCTGCGCTCTCCTCCGCGGCTCCGAAGCTTTCCCTCTCCGCCACCCGCAGTCTCCGCCTGCGAAGGGGCTTCTAGTGGGGGTAGGGCTTTCCTCCTTCACAGCTCCCTCCCAGAGGTGCAGGTCCCATCCCTATTCTTTTGTCTCTGTTTATTCTTTTTTCTTTTGCCCTACCCAGGTACGTGGGGAATTTCTTGCCTTTTGGGAGGTCTCAGGTCTTCTGCCAGCGTTCAGTGGGTGTTCTGTAGGAGTTGTTCCACGTGTAGATGTATTTCTGATGTATCTGTGGGGAGGAAGGTGATCTTTGCGTCTTACTCTTCCGCCATCTTCCCCCTCTTGAGTCAGGAACTATGTTTTAAAACATCTTGCCCAGAATTCAAGCTGATTGAATTCTCTGAACTTTTAGCCTAACCTTTCTTGATTCCTTCTTACTTTAAGAAACCGTTTTTTAAAAAAATTTTTGAGCATATTTCATGAACTTCAATTTCTTAGCACTTTAGCCTTCCTGTCACTGTTTTTTAAGTTTGACTTAGAATCTGTCATCAGTAGATTTTTTTTGTGCTTTCTTTCTTCCTCTGTTGTGTATCTTTTAAAAATATGATTTGATATCATGATATTGTGGAAATCTACTAGTAGAAGGGACAGAGTTCATCTAGTTTGAATCCCTATTTAAAAAGTAATGAAACCGAAGCCCAGAGACTTGCTTAATTTAGATCTTAACTGTGATTTTGGCAAGATCTCAAAGAAAGTGAGTCACGGTATCGACCAGAATCCAAGTTTCTCATGGCCAGATCTGCGCACTTTCTACTAATTCTTTTTTAATTTATCATGGTTACCTGTGAAGCCTCTTCTCATTCTTGGCTGTCTTCCCTCTTTTCTCTCTCACGGATTATTTGCAAAGGTCTCATGAGAATTCATTCCTGGGGAACCATATTGCCTTTTAATGTCTGTAGTCAGGATTATTTCTGAATGGATTCCATCAGCAGCAACAGCTCTTCATTCCCACTGAACACTTCTAAATGGCTGACTGCAAGTCAACAGTCAGCATTCGTTCTAGCCCACTGTTTCCTTTTCTTCCTGTTGTAAGCTTCAGTATGAAAATAAGAGGCCATTTCCTCTCACATTTCTAAGGACCATGTCAGTAGCCAGTTCTTTGTGGATGGAATTGAAGAGTGGCATTCCCCCCTCACCCCTCAACACACACACATATTTAAGAAAAAAACTCATGGAGACTATTTTTTAGTATAATTAGATTTCCAGCAGGTAGTCTAAGATGCTGCAGTGTCTGTGCCAGTTTTTCTCAATTGTCTGCAGTTAAATATACTGCAGCTGTCTGTGGTGTACCTCAATTATTGTGACTCTTTTCTCCTTTTCTCCTTATTCAGGTGCCGTCGCGGTTCCACACTCTGGTTCATAGATTTCTGTATACATTTGGCCGGTGTCTACTCTGTCTCTTCTGTTATTTGCCCTTCGTAATTTATTTGAAAGTACATACTCTTCCATTGTATTTCAGTTTTGAATTCCTCGATGGTATGCTAACTCTTGGCCTGCAAAGGTATCTCTTTTTGTTAGGCCAGTATTTGGTATTTCCCTAGTTTGAGGAGCTACACTTATCTGCCTCACATTTACTTCCTTATGGTAACATGTCAACTGTTACCCCATACACTTTACTTTGGTATCTAACTATCTAGATCCCTTAGGATCGTAACTAATAAATCTCCCTTCTCCTCCTTTTTTAACCTGAGCATCACTGGACAGCCTCCAGGGTCTACTTCCTTCTGTGTCATATAGTCATCCTCCAGAGCATTTGATAGCTTTTCCCAAGTTTTTTCACTTTCTCTCTCAGAACTGAGTTTAAAGTTTTCCTGTTCCAGAGGGCAAGTCCACTGCCAAATGAATGCTCCAGCCTTCACAAGTTGTAATCAATCCCTTGTTCATTATTCTGATTCATGGGCTGTCATTCAGGGAAACCAGAGCCATCTATGTAATAAACTTCCAAAATCAAGCATCTCATGGAAGAGAAGATGGAATACCACCTCTCTAGCACGGAATTTTACTTCCTAACGTGTTTTTCAGAGGTCTCCCTGAGAATCATTCCATTCATTCTTTGAAAAATCAACAGGAATAGAAGCAATTTCTATGACTGACCCTTAGCTGGCTCTGTCATGTATTGAATGAATGCCCTTAAGAAACATCACATACCCTTCATGTGGCCATGTGCGTTCTGTATACACTACACATACCCCTCATACAGGATTTTCAAATAGCCAACATGTATCACTTCTTCTAGATACAGTAACAACTCTTTCTTCTGTTAAACCCTATGATTCTTCTGTATGCTTCTGTCGAACATATTCTTATTTAGCATGTTTTCTAGAACTGATAGTGGTCAGTGGCAGTTAGGCCAGATCAGGAACACCTTAAACTGGAAGATTAGTCAGTCATTCTAACAGATAGGTGAGTCAGATTGCTTATGATATCTACCCTGAAGCAAGTGAGAAAGCCAAGTCTAGCTAGCCAGGTAGAGTATTTTATCTAGAATGAATAAGGAATAGATGGTGGTTCAGACAGTCAGGCATTGAAATTGGGGAGGTCCAACGATGGGCAGGTGTTTGGAACACAGAGATCAGGATCCTGAAAATTAATGGGTGTTCAGTAGAGGGGAGTTTTGACTGCAAGCAGTGGGCTTTCAGCTGTGAGACTGACATTCAGAGGCTAGAAACTAACCTCTGGGAGGACAAGTGAGAATAAGCGGGAACAGACATGAACCTAGTTATTTGAATTGGGACATAAAGAAGAAGTGAAACCAATAACAGGACTGACTGCATGGCAAGCCTTCCAAGCTATTGGCCTAGTCCTCTATCTGCAAGATTCAAAGTAGGATTGGTCCCAGCCTGGGGTTGAGCCTGCTAGTCAGAGTGAAATGATTCCAACTTTGATAGTTAAAAGGCGGCAGAGGCAGAACTGTCCATGATGATCCGCACAGGGACAGAAGCTCCACTGGTATAGAGCTTCTTTCGCTCCTCTACTTGTAATCTTTTGACATTATTTTACCTCTGTCTTCCCTCCCTGAACTTTTTTTCCTTCTGACTTCTCTTCTGTGCTTTCTACTACCCCAGCGGAGAAAGATAGAGATGTTTTCTTGGTCATGTCCCTGTCTCCCCTAGCATCAGGAAGGCCAGTGTACATGTAGTACATACGGTTGATGGTGGTGTCTGGCAGGAAAAAAAAATAACAGTGTACAAACTTAGCAAGTTATAATGAAAGTGTGTTTTTAATTTTTTTTGGATCTCTGAATGAGCCAACAAATTTTCTTATCCATTCTTGTAACCCTGGGGCCTGAGCTGTTCCTGGGAGGGAGTACTTTGTTGTGCTTTTTTAAGGACTATTTTTCAACTGACCTGGTTCCACTTTTTTCCCTAGCTACTCTTCTTTTAAGGTTTTAGTCAAAAGCATTCATAACAAGAATCTTTCTTGCAAGCAGCTTTTCATACCAAAAATGATGGGCTATAACCAAAGGATAACAGAGACTATGATCAAAGACTTCTATACATACATTGCTGTTTCAGCTAGGCCTCATAGGACTTACTGGGTTGTAGAGGCCCAATACGTTCTTGGATATTATTTATATTTTCGTGAGTCAGATTCTATAAATTTATGTATACAACATGAGTTTATAGATTTTTTTTCCATCTATCTCTAGGGTTGCAATAGTTTCCAAATCTTTTGAAGGAAAAACTGATTGCACAGAAGAGTGGTACGGAACCCAGTACAAGCAAGAAGCTATACCACATGAAGTCATTAAGGTAGGGTTAACCCATCTGTGAATAAGCTGATGTGTGAGGGACACACAAGAATATGAGCTCCCTAGATCAACCAATTCACAGCCCAAAGTGTGGAGAGTGATGGCCCAGCACTGTCTGTACCATCCCAAGAGGAGTGAACAGGGAGGTGGAGAGCTGGAGCTTAGGTTTTGCATGAAGAAATGATACTGTAGCCACCTTCTCGTCTGCCTGTCAGACCAGCAGGGCTGTAAAGCAGACTCCAAGTCTCATGCGGTCAAAGATCAATGAAGTCCAAAGTACACAGGGTTGCAAAGGCACCAAGACAGGCAGGAAGAGATGGAAATAGAGAACCTGAAAGACAGATGCAAGGGCTGAGAGCTCACGATCTTGCTGTGAACACAGGTGGGGAGCAATTTCTGGGATTCATACCATCTTCACTTTAGGAGGGGCTATATTTTATGCCTCATATTGTATCTTTGCTCTTTTTGTCAACATAGGGTCATTATGATTTGTTTCAAAACAAATCATATAGATAGTATGTTACCCCATTCATCAGGAGTCAGGATTTTGTTTGTGAGTCTTATCTACTGGTCCAGTACTTTTTCTTTTTTGGTTCTCATTGGCTGTGTAGCTTTGAGACTGTGTCCTTTATTCATGGGGCGACACCAGAAAACCTTGCTCTGACTAAATTCTAGTTAAACTTGGGTAATGGATATTTCTTAAATGTACCAGGGTAATGACGATACAGAAAAAAGTAGTTTAAGAAAGAAAAATTATTACTGGTACTTTTCTGACATATTCACAGCACATAAGGAGATGACTGAAGCCCTTTAGTGTGTGAAAATGTCCATCTTACTAAACTGTGAGGAAAGCTGATCTCCCATGAATTAGTGCTGGGTGTGAACTAACCCTCAAACAAGAGAAAACCCCTGTTCACCAAATTCTGACCATGACAAACCTGCCCCAAATGGGAATTTAAACAAATTGATCTGGAAGCTCAGCAGTGAAATTACTTGCTAAGTGTTTACCAGTCCCTACGATTCAGCCATACTGGGGACTTAAGTTGCTACATATAAATAATATGGCCAACATCCCCACCATCCCAGTGCCAAAAGACACAAATGCAGGGACCAAAATAGAACTACAGGAGCTGCAAGGCTGTGCCACATCAGCTGGAGACCAAATTACTAAACCCAGAATGATTGGCAGTTGGTTGCTTTTTTAAAAAAATAATGAAAAGTCTTATAAATCAGAGTTCATCAATCGTGGTCTGATCTGCCTCACTTAGCTTTTGGAAGTAGCCCATGGAACAGATCCAACCTGCAGGTTGTGTCGATCCTGTCCCACAATCCAGATTTAAATCTCAACTTTGTCCTTAACCTTATGCTTGAAATATTGGTCCACTTGAAAATGCATGTGGTCGTCTGGGAGAGAAGTAGACCAGGCCTTTAGAAGTGCTGAAGTCAGAGAAGCCCCCTTTAACCTAGTTTTCAAGCCATACATTCAAGTAATATAGTGTAGCTGAAAGTTTAACTCTTTTAAATGACCTGTTGTCTAGCAGTTGTGGGTATTTATCTCTGTGCAGATTATTCTCCATTCTTTAAAGAGCTGGAGCAAACATGATCTTCATATGGACCAGTTAGCCTCAGTTCCACAGTCTCAGATTGTTCCTTCACCTCAGCTGGTCATTTTAGACATGTGTAAAGAGGAAAGATAGATGAGTGTAAAACCTTGATTAGTTCCAGAGACTCCAGTTCAAGTTTCATGAAAAGTCATTGATAGATCTTGGGAGTAGCCTTTTTATATATGATGGAAGAGGATGCTGTGTGACATTTATTCTCTTATTATTTGCCTAGATATTAAGCAATGTGACTGTTTTAAACTCTTAAATCAGATTCTAATCGCTTTTATGTGTGTGTGTTTTCACTATTCATCCAGAAATGGCAAAATGCTGATCTGAATGGGAAATTTAAACTTCCAACGAAGAATGAATTTATTCCTACAAATTTTGAGATTTTATCATTAGAAAAAGAAGCAACACCATACCCTTCTCTTATTAAGGTAATACGTTAGAATCATTGATATTAAATTTAGGGGACAGACCTATTACATAGAAGGGACTAGAGAGATGTTTTCTTGCATTTGATACTATGTTGATTTGTGGGGCTCACACCCTATAGATAACAGAAAAGTTGCAGAGAGAATAACTACAAGAAATATTAAAAGGCTAGACATTTTAAAACAAACAAAACTACTATACAGCATAGAATCTAGGGAATTGTTTTCTTTGCAGACAATAAAATAGTAAGCCTGGAATGTAACTACAAGTCTATTGAAAGCGGGCTTTTTTCCATGTTCACTGAAGGCCCAATAAGGAAGTAGATTTATGCTGCATCATGAAAGTTAGAGATAAGAAAGAATCTCTAAAGCCTGGAAGAGAGCATATCCAGGGGAAGCTGTTGGATTTCCTGCCCTTAAAAACAATTCTTTCTCATTTTGACAGAGCGCTATATGAAGTTAATGGAGTTATAAGCCAGTGGGAAGAACGATTGAGGAGGGTGTTTTCTTTTTCAGAATGTTCTTTTCATGTCATTATTTCACACCTTGGGTAGATTGTGTAGAAAAATGGATCAAATTATTACAGCACATCCTCTTTTCTAAACTTTAAAACTAACTCTTTCTAAACTTACCACCATAGACAAACATCTTTCTTTCCCTTTTCTTCAAATGACCTAACATTCAGATTAACTCAATGAGATGAGAATTAGTGTTTAGGACTATGAAATTTAATTTATCTCAAGTAACTAGATTATTAATGAGACAATCATTTTTCTTTAAAAATGACATTTTAATGAGTTATACGTTAGGTTATTCAAAGAGAAAGATTATTTACTTCTCCTATTTTTATTTTTTGTTTTAAATAGGCCATCTTAGCATAAACTAAGGAGAACATTAAACCATTTATCTCGTCAGAGTTTCAAAGTAGTTTCAAGTGAACTTTAAGACTTTTTTTTTTTTAATTTATTTGGCTGCGTCAGGTCTTAGTTTTGGTACGCAGGATCTTCTTCACAGTTTGTGGGATCTTTTGTTGCGGTGTGTGGGCTCTTTATTGCAGCACGTGGGCTTCTCTCTAGTTGTGGCATGTGGTCTCCAGAGAGCGTGGACTCTGTAGTTGTGGCACATGGGCTCTCTAGTTGTGACGTGCAGGCTCAGTAGTTGTGGCACACAGGCTTAGTTGCCCCGCAGCATGTGGGGTCCTAGTTCCCCAACCAGGGATCAAACCTGCATCCCCTGCATTGGAAGGTGAATTCTTAACCACTGGACCACCAGGGAAGTCCCTAAGACTTTTTAAAATATAGTATGAATGAGTGAGTGGAGAGGCAAAGGAGTAGCTTATTTGTTCATCCTTGGCTGTGTTAGTTATCTGTTGTGGTGTAACAAATTACTCTAAAATTCAGCAGTTTAAAACCACAAACACTTATTTTATCTCATGCAGTTGCCAAGGGACAGGAATGTGGAAGTAGCTTAGTTGGGTAGTTCTGGCTCAGGGTCTCTCAGGTTATGGTCAAGTTGTGAGCTGGGACTTTGGTCATCTGAAGGCTCAACTAGGGCTGGAGGATTCTATTCCAAGTTCATTTGTGTGGCTTTGGGCAGGCCTTAGTTCTTCGGTACATGGGCCTCTCCATAGAGTTGCGTGACATGGCAGCTGGCTTACCCCAAAGTGAGTGATCCAAGAGGGAAAATGAGTGATCAAGGTGGAAGCTACAGTGTCTTTTATAATCTAATCTCAGAAGTGTCGTATCATCACATCTGCCATAATCTGTTGGTCAGACAGAGACCAACCCTGGTCCAGTGCAGGAGAGAGAACCACACAAGGGTGTGAATTCCAGCAGGCAGGGATCCATGTGGCCCACTTTGGTGGCTGGCTGCCACACACACACACCCGCCCCCAAGGACTCCTGCATCTGTGTCCCTGCATCCAGAAAGACAGGGACAGGACAGTTGGTATTGGCTTCACCTGTCTGTCTCTTCCTCCACTGTGTCCCCATCTCTTTGACCCAGGGTGCTGATAAGAGGGTGATTTCTCTCTACTACTGGAATCACCAGCCATCTCTCCAGCTTCCCACCAGCTGACCCTCTGAGTATGCTTCAAGGCCATGGGACAGCAGTCTCTCCAGAACAAAGCTCAGCTATTGCCTCTGTTCTCCTCCTCTTTTTTTTTTTTTTTTTGTCCTCCTCCTCTTGAAGAGTGATTTGATTGAAGATTTTTGCCGAATGTGCCTGTATTTCCCTAAACATACTGTTTCTCCATCACAGGATACAGCTATGAGCAAACTCTGGTTCAAACAAGATGATAAGTTTTTCTTGCCCAAGGCCTGTCTCAACTTTGAATTTTTCAGGTACGTAAAATGAATCTAGCTACAAAGCTTCCTATGAAAATCAACAATTACATTTCTGAAAGTTTTCTTTGCTTCCTTAAGGACCTATGTCTGGAAATAAAAGGAATTAGAGTTTTTTAGCCTAGACAAAGGAAAGCTGCTCCTTCTTGTTAAGGGAAGGCTGTAGACTCACCAGAAGTTTCACTGAAGAAAGATTAAATAATTTGGGGTGGGTTTTTTTTTGTTGTGGTTTTGGTTTTATATTCCTGGAACTTGCCCAGAAGAAGAGGTAGTAGTTACTAAATGATCTTGAATCTCTTCCAGCCCTTTAATTGTCTGGAGCCCTCAGATATTGCTTTCTGTATTCCTGGCTTGGTAGAAGATGTTTAATAAAATTTATGAATAACGCTACTATTGCAATGATTTCTCAGTATAAATCTTTAGTTTATCTCTATCTCCTTTTTTTTGTGTAATAATGTTATCACTCAATTCAAATTTTACTTTGTGAGTTTGCACTCTATAATTTTATATTTCTAAAATTCAGTGGTTTGTGTTTATAAAATAAATCTATCATTTTTTAATAATGTTCAGTATAATGATCAACTTTTTCATTAATTTTTATTTGATTTGCTTGGCATGAAATTAAAGCTGGATGTGTTTTAAATGTTTTAGAAAAGAGAAAAAGAATCTCTTAAGTAGGAAGTTAACAGTTCACGAACAAGTATGTTGAGACTGTAGGGATGTAAACATTGTTTATTTATAGCATGAGATTCATAGATTATCTAGAGCTGCGCTGAGATTGTTGGTGTTGTTTTTTGTTTGTTTGTTTGTTTACATCAAACATGGGCTTTCTGATTATGGCTTGCTGTTGGTAGAGAGCATTACAAAGCTGGTTTTATTTTTTGATAGTTCAGAGTGATATTTTTAACCCTCTAAGCATCTTGTCACACTTTCCCATTTGGCTTCTATGATCTGGCTTCAGAATACCTTTTGAGAGACCATTTGATATGTTTGCGTTCTCTAAACTGCCTAGCATAGTTCTCAGAATTTAAAATGTCTGCTTCCCACCAATCCCTCTCCATGTTCTGGTCTCTCTAGAGGTAAACACTATTAGGTTTCTTGTACGTTCTTAAATAAATTTTCTGTTTGTGTTTATCCTTTTAATCTTTTCAGAAATAGGATAATATTATGCATATGTACAGTTTTTAAAACTCTGTGATCCATGTTTAAGCATATAACATCTGGTTACAAAATAATATGTTTTAAGTTAACAAGTGAACCAGGATTTAAGAATTCCACTTGAATCAGGTTCTCTTTTAAAAGTTAGTTTAGGACCCTCTCCAGTTCACCAGCATAGCTGCTGTGGATGCAGCATTTTAGGACACTTCTTGGAATTGCGTTCTGAGCTTGATCCACATGACTTTGAACTCCCAGATTTGTTTTTTTCTAGCTTTTCACTTCCACCTAAGGGTGCCTGTGGGGATGAACCCTTTCAAGGACTCTCTTTTGTTTTGATGCTTTTGTGAGCTGTGCTAGTAAGTTTCTGAACTGCTTCCTTCTATTTGACTAAAGAAGGAAGTCTGTCATCATGTATAATACTTAAAAAATTAAATGACAGAGTGTTATTTAGATTTGCCAGGTGGAGAATGTATAGCTTTAGAATTTTCTCTTTGATTTCAATTCTCTGTAGCTAAGCATTTTACCCCTATTTTTACTTAATTATCAGTTTTTGATAAAATTTCTGGCTCTGATGTCAGTGCATTGGTTATATTTACTGTGCTATAGATAGAGTGAAATTTTTAATTTGCTGCCAAACAAACCAAGCCACGAGGCTACCTCAGGTCCTTTGTACTGGTTGTTTCCTCAGCCTGGAAAGTTCTCCACCCAGATATCCCCAGGGCTTGCTCCTTTGCTTCCTTCAGGTCTGGACCCAGATGTCACCTTTCAGAGTGGCCTTGATTAATAATTAATAATAATTTTAATAATAACAATTTAATTTATTAATAATAATTGTATGTAAATTATCAATCTTCCTGTCCCACTACCCATCACTCCTGTTCCTCTGACCCTGCATAATTTTTCTCCATAACACTATCACCACCTGATGTATCAAATTTAAATTTATTATTTGTCTCTTCCAACTAGGCTCTAAACTCTGTGAAGTCAGGGACTCTGCCTGATTTGTTCCTTCTTTATTCCCAGTACCTAGAGAAGTGCCTAGCACTATAGTGAGAATGTAGTACATATTTGTTGAATGAAGGAATCTTTTACTTGCTTCCCATAAAGGTAAGCAGTGTCACATAGTCAAATGAATAGGTCATTTGACTTAAATCTGAATCCTAACTCTGCTGCTACTAGCCCAGGTGACATGAGGAAAGTGATGCTTCTTATTTGGGAAACGAAGATTTAAGTTAGGTCATCTCTGTGGTCCTATTTAGCTCTTGCACTCTGTAATTATTTCCTCTCTTTTGTTGCTCTTTCTCACTTAAAAATTTTCCTGTTTTAATATTTTTTCCTAGTTCTGGCTGTAGTTGTATGATGGATATTATCAATTACTTTACTGACAGTGTTCCAGTCTCTTGGTTTGGGAGGAAACTCAAGAGATAAGCTAACATTTTCACAGGTCTTAATTTTTCTCTTTCAAGTCTCAGTTTTTCCCTTTTAAGTTTATATAATCATAGCACACAAACTTCTCAATCTCATCCTCCTGTCCACCAAGGGTATGGCTTGCTTAGAGGGAGAAAGAGGACACACACATGCTGTTATCAGCTCTGTCAGCCATGCCTTCTCCTATTAGCCTAAATGTAGGCATGCGTTTTGGCCTGTTCCTCCTTACCTACGCAGCATTTCTAACTTGTCAGTTCTACCACGCCATCTGGGGTAAGCAATTCCTTCTCCCTCTTCACCACTACCAGCACACATAGCATATTTCAAGCTTCTTTTTTAAACATCTTGTTTTTTTTCCTCATGAGAATTCATGTGTATTCAAAGTGTATCTTCAGGAAGTTATTTTAACCCCTGTTCAGTTCCTTGATCCATCTCGAAAGGCCATATCACATTGGGAAGTAATAAATCAGCTATTTTACTGTCAACATTTTCTTCCAGCCCATTTGCTTATGTGGACCCCTTGCACTGTAACATGGCCTATTTGTACCTTGAGCTCCTCAAAGACTCACTCAACGAGTATGCATATGCAGCAGAGCTAGCAGGCTTGAGCTATGACCTCCAAAATACCATCTATGGGATGTATGTAAGTACCCACGTCTTAGAGCCTTCCACTCATCAACATTTTTTATATTGATTTGCTGGAAGCACTTTTGATTGAGGGTGTGAGTTTAATTTCTTTTTTTTGTGACTAATCGTATTTTCGCATCACTTAATTTTTAAGTTAGCTCTTACTGTTAAGTATTCAGCAATATACCATTCATATTATGCGAATTTTCCTTGATTTCTTTTTTTTTAAACATCTTTCATCAGACTGTCATATTTTTCTCCTCAAAACAAAATTGGACCCTGATTTAGGTTTAGATCTCTCCCATTCTGTATCTGAAGTCTTGGTCTTTGACAACAGAGAATGAAATCTTCCTGCCATTGTAAAACAAAAGGTTGGCCTGTACTATTTCCCTAGAAATTCAGATCATGAGGCTGCATATTCATACTCTTCGGTCATGTTTCTTCATTACCATGCCACTGCTTGAGGTATCAAAGCATTTCTTTTGTTTTTCTTTTTGTTAGTCGCTACATTTATGCTGATCCTCTCCATTGCAACATGACATACCTGTTTATCAGGTTATTGAAGGATGATTTAAAAGAGTATACATATGCAGCACGCCTCTCAGGTTTGAGCTATGGCATTGCATCAGGAATGAATGCAATACTTGTAAGTAAAATGAAAACGAAAGAAAAGGCGTCACACCGTTTAAGCATTATGTTGAGCTTGGGAAAACTATTAACTTCTGCATTTTAAAACAAGAAGATTGATGGTTTTTTCCTTGCACCTTTTTAATGATTGAAGAACTCAAGTTAGTATTAGTTCCACTAACAAATGATTTAGTAGAGTTTAGTGCATCTTGTGAACATGTATTTATGCTACGTTTATTTGCATGTTCCTCTGCTTGAAATGTTTAACGTATTAATCCTGAAAGCATGTTCTTTCCATGTATTTGAATATATTAACATCTGTAAGTGAAAGATACCCATAGTTACTGTTGTGGTGCTGAATTTTACTTATATTATAAGCTTCTTTATTTCTGCTGACGGTAGTAGAAAGTTCCTGTGTTCAAATATGACTGACATTTTCATTTAATTTATTTTGTAGCATGTATCATTAACTACTTTTAAGTGTGTTTTAAGATAAACATTATTAAATGCATCCCAAGAAATAACTAGATCCTTTCTCTTGAAACCGTTTCTGTTATGTTTCCAAACTTATATCTCATTTCCAAATTAACATCCCTCTTCTAGCACACATTCACCTTCACTTTTCTTAAAAATATGTTGTATGTTTTCATAACAACTAAAATGAGAGCATGCACTGTGTACTCTTTCTAATTCTATACAAAAGGTTTTAGGGTTTTTAAATTTTATTTATTTTGCAGTGACTTTTTTTCTTCATACAAGTAACTTTTCTGGTAGTTTTTGTTTAATGTATAAGTATATATATAACCTAACCATTCTCAGAGTCCAGGGAAATTTGAAGCTCAGAGGTCAAAATAAAATCCAAGTAGAAAAGTAATAATCCATGGTTTATTTTTTGCTGTTGAGTTTTAGTAGCATATCACCATTAAAATAAATAATTTTTAATTTGTGACAGAATGGGCTTCCTGCTAGTTGTCAGTCTAGTCCCCACGGTACATGATGTGCTTTCCATGGGCAGTGACCTTCACTCCTGCTGAGATACTTGCCTATCAATTTTCTTTTTCTTTTTCTTCTCTTTTTTTTTTTTTTTTTTTTTTGCGGTACGCAGGCCTCTCACTGTTGTGGCCTCTCCCATGGCGGAGCACAGGCTCCGGACGTGCAGGCTCAGCGGCCATGGCTCACGGGCCCAGCCGCTCCATGGCATGTGGGATCTTCCCAGACCGGGGCACGAACCCGTGTCCCCTGCATCGGCAGGCGGACTCTCAACCACTGTGCCACCAGGGAAGCCCCTTGCCTATCAATTTTCATAAGGTAGAGGCGTCCAGAGATATTCTAGTTCCAGTGTATCCTCTAACCTCTGTGGGTGCCACCATGTGGCAGTATAATAGTAGGAAGTGTGATAATAGGCTTCCCCTGCTTTTCAAAACGTTACGCTTTCAGAAACTATTAAAGTAAATTGTCCTAAGGCAAAATCCAGACAGTACATACAGTGTATCCTTACTTCACATCTGTTTTGACACTGGCTTTTGGTACATCAGCAGAACTCATCAAACAAGCAAGTAGTGAGACCTATGGACCATTATTGGGCAACATTGGACAAGAAAAGTGGCAAAATGCCATATAATACAAAATTGGGGCTTCCTGATTTCTTAAAAGATGATTTTTTTAAATATTTAAATATAAACAATTTGGGGACATATCCAGTAGTTTGCTAGGTAACCCTCCCCTATGATTTTTACCTTCTTAACACAACTATAAAAATCTTAAGCCTGCCATTCTTTAGAAATTCTTTTTGAAGGTTAAATTTAAAACACATTCTATAATTAATTTTGACTTAATGAGAACTTGAATTTTGATGATATATAGTGTGTACTGCCGTAGTTTGGCACCAGGTAAGTTTTCCTGCTATTGTTTTTGTTTAGGAAAAGCATATGCTTTTGGATATTAGTAAATAAAGATGGTCAATGTTATCTTCCTAAGTGTCGAACTATATTTATGAGAAATGAAACTCATTTAATTTCTTGTTTTATTTTTATTTTGATACACCTGGTTTGGGGATTTTCTACATGTTTTAAAGTCAAGTTGAAGTTGTTTCATGTTAATTTTAGACTTTTAATATCCTGAACTCTTTCCGTAGCTCTCGGTGAAAGGTTATAATGACAAGCAGCCAATTTTGCTAAAGAAGATCATTGAAAAAATGGCTACCTTTGAGATTGATGAAAAAAGATTTGAAATTATCAAAGAGGCAGTAAGTTTTCTCAACTTATTTTTATAATTTTTTTATTCATAAGGTGATATTGCCACATTATGAACATTTTTGAAAAAGAGGCAAGGAGGAAAAGAAGCATTCATAACCCTGTGGCAGTCACTTTATCCTATCTTTGCTGAATCCTATAGGAAATCTCCCAGGAAAGCCTGGGAGACTCTGGTGGACACCTGGCCCCCTTCTCTGTAGGCCCTAAGAGCTAGGGTAGCACTGACTTTCAGAGAGGAGCCTGAGGTAGACCTAGTGGCTTTCAGGGACTCCTTGAAGGTTTCATCCAACCTCCATTTAAGAAGAACACTCTAGGGCTTCCCTGGTGGCTCAGTGGTTAAGAATCCACCTGCCAGTGCAGGGGACACAGGTTCGAGGGCAGGTCTGGGAAGATCCCACATGCCACAGAGCAACTAAGCCTATGCACCACAACTACTGAGCCTGCACTCTAGAGCCCATGAGCCACAACTACTGAAGCCCACGTGCCTAGCTCCTGTGCACTGCAACAAGAGAAGCCACCGCAGTGAAAAGCCTGTGAACTGCAACGAAGAGTAGCCCTCGCTCGCTGCAACTAGAGAAAGCCCACGTGCAGCAATGAAGACCCAACACAGCCAAAAATTAAATAAACAAACAAACAAATAAATAAAAAGGGAAGAAAAAAAAAGAAGAACACTCTATTCTGCAGGAGGGACCTCAGCCTTCCATGACAGCCTTGTCACATTAGGGGAGACTATTTAGGCTTGATGTATCTTCCACTTAAATTCAACTCATGGTTGGTCCAGTAATGGAAATATGGGATGGATAGCTACTTTAAAAGCCAAACTATGACCTTCATTGTACACCCAAAGAAATTATCATCAGTTTTCAAATTAAGATTCAATATTTTTTATATATACATATCCATGTTGCTTGCTTAGAGAGACTTTTGGGATGACCTTATGGTGAAGAATTAAAGAATGCCAAGAGATGGAGGCCTTGAAAACTGGGGATAACTTTCTGAGAGATGAAAGAGATCCTGTAGTGAAGGTACTTAGAGTACATGTCAGATGCTGGGGGTAAAGCAGCAGCCTGGACAAAGAAAAATTATGCTCAAGACTTCTCTGGTGGTCCAGTGGTTAAGACTCCAAGCTTCCACTGCAGAGGGCACAGGTTTGATCCCTGGTCAGGGAAGTAAGATCCTTCATGCCTTGCAGTATGACCAAAAAAAAAAAAAAAAAAAAAAAAAACCTTTTGAAAGTACAACATGCAATCGTTTTTCTTTATTTATTTATTTTTGGCTGCGTTGGGTCTTCATTGTTGCACGCGGGCTTTTCTCTAGTTGCGGTGAACGGGGGCTATTCTTCGTTGAGGTGTGCGGGCTTCTCATTGTGGTAGCTTCTCTTGTTGCAGAGCATGGGCTCTAGGCACAGGCTCAGTAGTTGTGGGCTTCAGTAGTTGTGGCACACGGGCTCAGTAGTTGTGGCTCATGGGCTCTAGAGCACAGGCTCAGTAGTTGTGGTGCATGGGCGTGGTTGCTCCACAGCATGTGGGATCTTCCCGGACCAGGGCTCGAACCCGTGTCCCCGGCATTGGCAGGCGGATTCTTAACCACTGCGCCACCAGGGAAGTCCGCAATCATTTTTAAGACTCAGTGTACACACCTCACTCTTGATACTATTTCTGGTGTTATAAGGAACATATATTTTAATTGAATTTAATTGAAGTTCTGTTCTCAGAATTTTACATTTCTTAACTTTAACTTTACATTTCTTAATTATGGGGACAAAAAACAAAAAAATTACTTAAAAAAAAAGAAAGAAAAAAGAAAAAGCATGCTCTTTAGTTTAAGTATCAAAGGGAGAGAGGAGTAAGTCCCATTCTAAATTATATAACTTCGAAAAGGAAGATGAAGCAGATATCTCTGCATCCCATTTAACACATCATTTATGCAAAATGAAGTTTGATTATAGCTGACCTTTTGAAATGATTTTAAAAAGATCGATAAAATTAACAAACCCACATCTCCCTTCACTAGTATATGCGATCTCTTAACAATTTCCGAGCTGAACAGCCTCACCAGCACGCCATGTACTACCTCCGCTTGCTGATGACTGAAGTGGCCTGGACTAAAGATGAATTGAAAGAAGCCCTGGATGGTGAGACTCTTTCTACTTATAGCCTAATGCTTTCTTCATTCTTTTCTAAAATCATTTTGGTTTTATCCTATCACCTAGTATTTATGCTTTCTAATAACTTGTAGTTCCATTAAAGCCAGCTGGGCATACTGTTTTTTGGGTTTTTTTGTTTTTGTTTTGTTTTTGTTTTTAGAAAAGCAGTGGTGGCCTTTGAAGTGGCTTTTGTATTCAGGCAGTTTAACCACATTTGCTGTTTTCAACCTGGACCCACAACAGTCAGTTATTACTGTTAATAGATTTCTGCAGATGACAGTGTTTTGACCCAAGCACTTACCTTGTTAATATTGAAGTTTTCAGAAAAGGAAAAAAGGGCTGAGCTTGAAAGTCTTATCACACAGAAAGAATGCTTAGGCATTTTTGTTGTTGTTTTTGTTTTTGGTTTTTTGCAGTACGCGGGCCTCTTACCGTTGCGGCCTCTCCCGTTGCGGAGCGTAGGCTCCGAACGCGCAGGCCCAGCGGCCACGGCTCACGGGCCCAGCCGCTCCACGGCATGTGGGATCCTCCCGGACCGGGGCACAAACCCGTGTCCCCTGCATCGGCAGGCGGACTCTCAACCACTGCGCCACCAGGGAAGCCCTTTAATGATCTTTTATGACAAGTCCTTTCTTATTATGTATCACTGCGCCTTTGATGACTTTAGTGACAAATCAAGAGCAAAGTATTGAAGGTCATTATTTTATTGGTTGAGTAGGCATATAGATTATAAAATTTATTAACTAGAACAGATATGTTTTTAATCTGGACAGTTAATACACTTTTCTTTGCAAAATGGTTATGAGTCACATCCGGTTGTAACAAGCAGGAATTTTACCTTTTTTAAAAAATACCACATAATTGATGTTAAATACATTTTCAAGAGACCGAACCTGCATTCAGCATGATCCAAAAGCAGAGATTTGGGGATTCCCACCCCCTTTGTTAGATTCTGGGTCAGATGGTATATGAATTGTAAGCAGAATTAGTTCTAAAGTTTCACATAGGCATGTGATGCCTTCCTAAAATGTGTTTTATAAAGAGAAAGTCAGCACTTTTTCGGTTGAAATTTTCTGCTCTAATAATCATTCTGTTTTGATATATATATTCATCAATAATCCGGTAATGCCAACATGGCTTAATCTGGAGACAACTCAATATGAGAGGCTGGCTCCCCTGTGACTCTACGTCTGTCAGCTATCCAGGTGCCAGGGTAGCAAGAACCTCAGAATTCAGTGTGGTCCAACCGCATTTACTGACTGCCTGCTATGCACCAGGCGCCAGACTGCAGGTGCTTGAGATTAAAAAATGATCAACTAGGTGGGGTTTCTTGGATCAAGGAGCTCCAGTCTAGTGGCAAAGCGTAAATGTAAAACAGATTGTTTTTTGTAGAGGCAAAGAGACTGAGTATTGTTATAGAAGTTTGCAGAGAGAGCTGAGGGGTCTAGTGAAGGGGACTTCTAGGGCAGTGCAGTGGAGTGGGATGGGTATGCATTTTGGAATTAGACTAAGATTCAAATGCAGCTCTGCCACTTACTAACTTGATGACTTTGGACAAGAAACTTAAATTTTCTTAACTTCAGTTTTCTCACCTTTAAAATGGGGATAATAACGCACAATTTATAGTTTATAAGATAACATCTATAAAATGCCTGATGCATAGTAAGCACTTGTTAATTCCCTTCCTATGTCTCTCTTTAAATTTTATTCACTAATTTTAGCATCCATTGTAGCATTTATTAGTATGGTGTCCTAATGGAGAAGGGACAACTCTTCTTTACTGAAGAATTAAATCAGTACATGTAAAAGTAATGAGAAGAACAGAAAATACACTATTAGGATTCCATAATAATAATTGATACAGGCAGTATCCACCATTGGATGCTAAATTAGTGGGTAAAAGTTAAGTAAGGACAAAATATTTGTGTGGTCTCAAAGTATTTCCTCCAAAGTAAATATTTAAAAATTATAATGGGAAAAGAAGGCATTGGTGGGGTGGCTTTTCCTAATTGCTTGTAGAGCATACATGAGTTACTTAATTATAACCAAAAGATTAAAACAGTCCGCTGGCAGACAGCACTATAGCCACGTGGTCAGTGTTTACATCACCAGTATTACAGCGTAACAGCATCATGTGCCCCTGATGTGATGCCCTGAGAAAGACATATTACCTCTGGGGTATTCTTTCTAAGAATACAGAAGCTCAATTTAAGCACGAGAAAACACTAGACAAGCCCAAATAAAGGGCATTCTATAAAATAACTGAGCAGTACTGCTGAAAACTCTTAAGGTCAGAGCTTCCCTGGTGGCGCAGTGGTTGAGAGTCCGCCTGCCGATGCAGGGGACGCGGGTTCGTGCCCCGGTCCGGGAAGATCCCACATGCCGTGGAGCAGCTGGGCCTGCTGAGCCTGCGCGTCCGGAGCCTGTGCTCCGCAACGGGAGAGGCCACAACAGTGAGAGGTCCACGTACTGGAAAAAAAAAAAAAAAAAATCTTAAGGTCGTGAAAGGCAAGGAAAGACCAAGGAACTGTTACAGATTGGAGGAAACTAAGGACACATGACAACTAAATGCAAGGTGGGATTGTGGATTAGATCCTGGAACAGGAAAGGGATATTAGTGGAAAACCTGAAATCCAAATAAAGTCTGTATTTTAGTTAATAGTATTGTCCCAGTGTTAACTTCTTAGTTTTGGTCATCATCCTATGGTTGTTACAGATGTTAACGTAAGAGCAAACTGGGTGAAGGGTATATGGGAACTCCCTGTAATATTTTTGCAACTTTTCTGTAAATCTCAAATTGTCGCAGAGTTTTTTTTTTAGAAAACCTTATAGGTAGAGCTTACTATTTCTTACTCTTGTTTACAGATGTTACCCTTCCTCGCCTTAAGGCCTTCATACCTCAGCTCCTGTCACGGCTGCACATTGAAGCCCTTCTCCATGGAAACATAACAAAGCAGGTGCGGGACTGAGGTTTTAGCAATAATCTTTTATGCATCATTGCAAGAGAAAATTTTACCCTAGTTGGTCTAAGATTACTAACTAACCAGCACAGTGTGGCTGTATAAGCACATTAGTGTTGACTCAGGCTTCCCTGCCCTGTGCAGGAAGGTAGGGGAGGGTATAGGGGGAGCAGAATGATCATGGTTAACTGTGGACCTACTTTCACAGCTGTCTCCTCTGTTTTTGCCTGCCTCATGCAATCATTGAAGGAAATGGGAATAATTATCCCTACTCTGTAGGACAGCAGGACTGTGTAGTGGATAAGAGCACATGGTGTAGAATCAGGCTGGATTCAAACCTTGACTCCTCCGCTTACAAGTTATGTAATCTTCTGAAAACGTCTTAATCTCTCTATGCTCAATTTCCTTATCGGTAAAATTACTTATAAGGATTAAATTAAATAGTATATTCTTAAGTGTTCAGCACGTGGAAAGCATTCCAGATTCCCTTGGTAGTCTGTCTTAAAAGCCCACACTCTCTACCACTCTGTTATATTGCCTCCAAAACAATATGCCAAGGTCAGGTGCTAATAAGTGGCTGAGACAGTATTCTTCCCCAGGTCAGTTTTATTCAGAATAAAGCCTCATGCTTACCTCCTTTGCTTTGCTATAGCCCCAGTTGTCTGGTGTGGGTCATTGACGTGGGACCACCTTTCCATCATCAATACCTCTCCAGCTTTGGCAGTGCCTTTTCCCCAGGATCGAGATCAGTGCTGATGATGGTCTGGGTCTCTGTTTCTCTTCACTACTACCATACTGACTCTGTTGCAAACTGATGAGTTCAGCTTTTATCCATTTGAACAGGATCAAATGTATTTAAGATTTAAAAATCCACTCTTATGATAAACTAGGTTAGTTTGTTTCACAAGCATGTTGTTTCATATTGCATGGGCTACTATCTAATCAAGATACGTTTGTGATTTGTAATGTGCTGTGACCTATCTTCTTCCACAGGCTGCGTTAGGAATTATGCAGATGGTTGAAGACACCCTTATTGAACATGCTCATACAAAACCTCTCCTTCCAAGTCAGCTGGTTCGGTATAGAGAAGTTCAGCTCCCTGACAGTAAGTGGAAATGTTATATCTTTGGTAATGGACTACTTTGACATAATATCGTGTGTGATTACAGATGAGTTGAAGTCACTTGGATGATAATATATAGTTTTATGGTAAAGATCTACTGGGATCCTCTACTATTTATAGCTAGAGGTAGATAATTCTGCAGGAAAATTATCTGTAGGAGTGCCAAAGAGGTGAAATTGGAGGTAGGCAATTATTTTGAAGAGAATGATATTGGAATTGACTGGTAATTGAGTATAGAGGAGTTAGGAAAAAAATCACAAAACTAAAGAAATGTTGACTGTGAAGCATGAAATAAAATTTATTTATAAAAATGTAAATTAGAATTAGGAGTGCATAGGAGTCTTTGGTAGGTGCAGATAACACCATGTATTCATTGCATGCATATTTGATAAGGAATTAATATAAAGAATTGATAATAATATATTGGAGTTTGCAATGTTGGGTTACTTTTACATTAACAGTGGTTTCCTTTGATATAGAACTCATTAAGCATTATTTTCAATATTGTTCAGAACTGTATGGTGGGAAGTATGTTAGACCAGGGATGAGAAGCATTGATTTTTTTCTTTGAACTTTTTCTAAAAGTAATCACTTCCTCTTCTGAACCCCCAGCACAGGTTTTCTGAACCTTTCCTTGTTTAACCTACTCAGCACTTCTTCTCTTGTATTGGGATTGAAGTGCATCTCCATCTCCCCCGTTAGTCTATACATTTCTTAAGGCTGGAGTCTGTGTCTGGCTCACTTGAGTAGCTACTAAAGCATTACCTCAGGATCTCTCTGTTGAATGCTCAAAGACACTTTGAGCACAGCACTGCTATTCTGCATGGCCAGTCATTACAGACCTGGTAATGGTTACTTTCAAACTTCACTTAGTTTGTTCCTCAGTCACCGCAGCATGGCAGAGAGGGAGACTCAGGAACTGCCATTCAAGGGAATTCCCTGGTGGTCCAGTGGTTAGAACTCTGCACTTTCACTGCCTAGGGCCCTGGTTCGATTCCTGGTTGGGAAACTAATATCCCACAAGCCGCTCGGTACAGCTGAAAGAACAGATGATTGAATGGACGAACAAACTGCCATTCAAAAACCATAGCACATGGTCATCAGGCAATGACTAAACACGGTGTATTTGCTTAGTCACATTTACTGCTCATGAAATAGTTGTCAGATCATAAAGCATGGCCATCTGTTTATAACTTTGATGAATACTTGATCAGCATATCTGAGTTTTTGTCTTAGCTCTCCACCATCCAACTTTGTGTCCTTGGACAAGTCACCCCGCTTCTCAGGGTCTTCGTCGCCTCATCTCTAAAGTAAGGTGTTAGGCTGTCATCTCTGAGCATTGTGCACATTTGTGTAAATTTGTGAATTGACCTTCAGTGTGGGTGTTGGTAAACAGTATGAGGAATAGAATGCTAAGTAGATAATGGCACAACTAGTCATTTAAAAATTGTTTTGTATGGTTATTAAAACATAGGTAGTATTTCTGTTGAAGTTCTTATAGATATTAGCTAGTTCTAATCTAGTATGTACACTACATTGTAGATTTCATTAACTATGGATCTCATTTAGCATCAATACTTAGTCATAAAATGGGTTTTTTGTAAGTGTTTTGCCCTTTAAAGTCAGTGAGTATTTATAGAGGGCCTACCAAGTACAGATCACTGTATTAGGATTCCCTTGGGTAAGTTGAGTTTCACATTCTTAATGAATTAACTGTAACAGTTTGGAACTGCCAAAAGACACCAATCGAACTGAACAACTTCATAACAGCCAAACAAAACAGTAACTTTATTAAACCCTAAATAAATTTTTGAACGTGTTGCTGTCTTCTTGAAACTTCCTAGGAGGATGGTTTGTCTATCAGCAGAGGAATGAAGTTCACAATAACTGTGGCATCGAGATATACTACCAAACAGACATGCAGAGCACCTCGGAGAACATGTTTCTGGAGCTCTTCTGTCAGATCATCTCCGAGCCATGCTTCAACACCCTGCGCACCAAGGAACAGCTGGGTGAGGGGGAAGCAGGGGATGGCAGGATACCTCAGTCCTTGAGGAACAGCCATTGTTCTCGAGAGCATTCTCCACATGTACAGTCCCCTAGCATGATGCTTCAGGCATGCTCTACTCAGAAAGACTGTGAAAGCCTTGTTTGTGGGGAATCCACTTCTAGAAGATAAGCAGTTAATATCGCATGGACATTAGAGCAGTTCTTAAGGAGATGATACTGTGTTTACATTACATACGAGTCTATAAAAAGGTCATTTTGGGTGGGATGCTAGGGGAAGTCTGTTATGGGTGACAAGGTGGGAAGCAAGCCATCCACAGAAGCTTAGATTTACTGAATTTTGGATTCATTGAGGGGGCAGGTATTTTCTTTTATTCATCTTTGTTTCCCAAGCCTGGGGCACATAGAAGGTACTCAGAAGGTACTCAGTAAGAGGAAATGTTTCGGCAGAGTTCTAGGCAGTGTTAAAAGCCTTGGAGATCCTGGCAGCTTTGATCAATTAAGGAAAGAAACAAGCCCCAGTAATGTACATTGAATAACCAATGAAAAAGGATTTGGGCGAGTGTCCCCAAGTAACAATCTTTTTTTAAATAACCACAGTGGTAGATGCTGGACAGCAAAAGTGGATAAGGGGCTTCCCTGGTGGCGCAGTGGTTGAGAGTCCGCCTGCCGATGCAGGGGACACGGGTTCGTGCCCCGGTCCGGGAGGATCCCACATGCCGCGGAGCGGCTGGGCCCGTGAGCCATGGCCGTGGAGCCTGTGCTCCACAGCGGGAGAGGCCACAACAGTGAGAGGCCCGCGTACAGCAAAAAAAAAAAAAAAAAGTGGATAAGTTATGGATGGTCTTTCCCTTCATGGAGCTCACAATCTAGTCAGGAATGCAGACCTGTAAGGAATAATTGTAGTACAGTGTGGCAAATGCTACTAAGAGTGTTCAAACTCTAAAGGCTATGCTGAAGGTAGGGAGGTGTGGTTTGGGGCAGAGCAGCTGGAGAAGGCAAGCCACGAACGCTGTTTAGGAAAGATGTAGACGGTAGGTAGTGTATGAGCTCACAAGGTGACAGTGGAAGTATGACCTTCAGTTACTTGGTCTAAAGATTTGCAGTCTGAATGGAGTTGGTCCAGGAACGGGTTATCTAGCAAGAAATGCAATAGTGGAGGCAAGTTCACATAAGGAACTTGGACGTGAAAGGAAGCCGAGCTAGGACAATGGTTAGGGGATGAAAATGAGTCCAGCATTTCATAGGGATGAGAATAACTTTAACATGGATTGAAGGGGATTAACTAGCAGACAGGGAGGAGCCTGGGAATATTGAGTCTGAAAGATAAACAAGGGTTTTATCTCCAAATTTCTGACTATTCTTCAGGGAGCTCTTCTGCCCTGTCCTTAGGAACTGAAGATATTTTAATGGCTCATTTCTTCAGAGGTGAATAATATAAAGCCCTAAAGTCGATTTTATTTGCTCTGACAGGATAATTTTTGAAAGATTAAGTGTGACCCATGTCTCAAATGCCAAGGTCCTGACTGGCTGGTGTTTGCGTTTCAGGCTATATTGTCTTCAGTGGGCCACGCCGAGCCAATGGCATACAGGGCTTACGGTTCATCATCCAGTCAGAAAAGCCACCTCACTACCTAGAAAGCAGAGTGGAAGCTTTCTTAATTACCATGGAAAAGTCCATAGAGGACATGACAGAAGAGGCCTTCCAAAAACACATCCAAGCATTAGCGATTCGTCGACTAGACAAACCAAAGAAACTGTCTGCAGAGTGTGCTAAATACTGGGGGGAGATCATCTCCCAGCAATACAATTTTGACAGAGGTAAGGCAAAATTAGGGCCCCAACATTCATGGCATGCAAGTAAAACATTTGAGGACATTGATGTCATTCTACAAAATGGTATTTGTTTTGTAGATGATGTTCCAGTACGATTTGGGATGGGGGTGGAGGCATACCACTTCTAAAGAATCTTTATTTAATGTAACAACAATTTCCTAGTAGAAACTTGAGCTTTTTTTTTCCTTCTCTGAACTAGAGCTGGATCTATCTGTATCTCATAATAATGCACTAATAATAAATCTGATTTCACTTTTTGTGTTCATTCAGTACGCCCCTGAGGTTCTGAGCACAGATATGTAGGTATTTCTCATAACTCTAAATGGAAAATGTGCAAATTGAACTCTCTTGAGACAGGTGCTGCCCTGGAGGCACAGGGGTTCAAACATTTCCCTTTAGGGATCTCCCAAAATTTGTCAGTGCTTTTAGATTTGGGAGACTGTGCTCCCCGAAGTGTCCTGCCTATCAGCTTCCTTTTGCCTTTCTTAGAACAGATTAACAATGGAGTGCGCTCAGCTACACTAGAAGTCAGAAAGAGTTGGGCTGTGTTCTCACTGTGACACCAACAAGCCAAAGATCTCAGCCAAGTAACATTTTTTGGGCCTGTGTTTCTTTACCTGTAATTTTTCTAGCAGTTGGATTCACTGTTAATAGTACTAGGTTGGCCAAGAAGTTCGTTCAGGTTTTTCCGTAAGATGTTTCGGAAAAACCTGTGCGAACTTCTTGGCCAACCCAGTACCTCCCACTTATTGAGCATTTGCCCTGTGCCCCTGGTATTGTGTTATTGTCAGTTAAGTAGTTGTTATCCCCAATTTCTAGATGAGGAAACTGAGGCTCAGAAAACTTGAAGTGACTAGCCCAAGACCCAACAGCTCATAACTAGAGAGACAGGATATCCTCTTACTTTTTACTTGAAATTTATTCCCTTACTACTTGCAGGAGCAGATGATCACTCAGAAAGATGGATTCTTAAGAGTGTTGGAGTGAAGTATATTGTCGTTTAGTGTAGTGTTCTGGGATACTTAAAATGAAAATACTGTAAATTCTTGTTTGATTACTTTTTTAGATAATACAGAAGTTGCCTATTTAAAAACACTTACCAAGGAAGATATTATCAAATTCTATAAGGTAGGTTCAATTTGCATGTTTAGGTTTTGATAAGGAAATACTGTATGCACTGTGTTGTGTGTTGCTGCTTTGTACCCATTCAGGCCGGATTTATGAAGGCATTTTTATGGACCTAAGTATTTTTTGTGTGTGTGTGTGGTACGCGGGCCTCTCACGGTTGTGGCCTCTCCCGTCGTGGAGCACAGGCTCCGGACGCGCAGGCTCAGCGGCCATGGCTCACGGGCCTAACCGCTCGGCGGCATGTGGGATCCTCCTGGACTGGGGCATGAACCCGTGTCCCCTGCATCGGCAGTCGGACTCTCAACCACTGTGCCACCAGGGAAGCCCTGGACCTAAGTATTTTTGACACATATTACTGTTAGGAAAAAGAGATAGTCCCTATTGAACCCAGTACTGTTTTTCTCTCCCTCTGGACCGAGGACCGTGGTGGCCCTTCCTGGCTTCCAGATCCACCTGTTTAGGTTACCCTTCTGTTTCTTCTCTCTGTTCCTCGCCCCAGCCCACAAAGAACATCGCTGAGCTTTTGGTGGGAAGAAAGAGCAAAGAAAACAAATAGAACTTGGGAATCAGATTATTTTCCAGTCTCTGGCAACTATAAATCATCTTCACTAATTTAGTTGCCACTATGGCTCCTTTTAAAAATAAATGATTACTGGGCTGCCCTGGTGGCTCAGTGGTTGAGAGTCCGCCCGCTGATGCAGGGGACACAGGTTCGTGCCCCGGTCCGGGAAGGTCCCACATGCCGCGGAGCTGCTAGGCCCATGAGCCATGGCCGCTGAGCCTGCGCGTCCAGAGCCTGTGCTCTGCAATGGGAGAGGCCACAACAGTGAGAGGCCCACGTACGGCAAAAGATAAATAAATAAATAAATGATTACTCACCTTTGAACTGTGTTCAGAGATCTCCTGAGTTGTTTATTTTAATTGTGTTTATTGAAGTATAGTTGATTTACAATGTCATGTTAGTTTCAGGTGTACAGCAAAGTGATTCCATTTTATATATATATATATATTCTTTTTCATATTCTTTTCCATTATAGGTTATTATAAGATATTGAATATAGTCTTATTGTTTGTCTATTTTATATATAGTAGTTTGTATCTGCTAATCCCAAACTAGAGATTTGTGAGTTTTTTTTAAAGTAGAATGACTTTTTATACTAATTATTATATTTATTTATTTATTTTTGGCTGTGTTGGGTCTTCATTGCTGCACGCAGGCTTTCTCTAGTTGTGGTGAGCGGGGAGCTACTGTTCGCTGCAGTGCGCGGGCTTCGCATTACAGTGGCTTCTCTTGTTGCAGAGCGCAGACTCCAGTAGTTGTGGCACGCGGGCTCAGCAGTTGTGGCTCGTGGGCTCTAGGGTGCAGGCTCAGTAGTTGTGGCGCACGGACTTAGCTGCTCTGCGGCCTGTGGGATCTTCCCAGGCCAGGGCTAGAACCTGTGTCCCCAGCATTGGCAGGCGGATTCTTAACCACTGCGCCACCAGGGAGGTCCCAGATTTGTAAGCTTTAAATGCCTGAGCTCACTGAGAAAGTTCAGTTCATCAAGAGAAAAGAGAGGCACCACCATTAAAGTTTTCCCAGTATAGCTTGAAGAGGTTTACACCATCCAAATTTTCCCCACCTGTAACAGAATTCATAGAAGGGTAGCAAAAATTTTAAGTGGGCATATAATGTGTAGTAACCATGCTAAGTGCAGAAATTAAAAATTTATGCTGCAATAGAGTTGTACCTAAAGCGCTATATATATTCTTTGTAATGTATTGGGACCTCTAATTTGTGTAAAATACTTTTATGTCTGTTTTTTAGGACAAGGAACAAAATTCTACTCCATAATTACCATAGTACCTTAGAATTATACCCTATCTAGTATCCTTAGCCACTTCTCCTGGTTCATATCTGATTTATCAGACAACAGGTTTTTCGTTGGGAGCTCAGGTCCTGCCTCATGCTAACATCTCTGGGAGGGATGTCATCTGCTTTTCAAGGTCATTTCTCAGGGATCTGTTGTAACTGCCATAACAGGAGTGGTGCTTGCAGTTCTCATTGGAATGATTTTGTGAAATTAATTGTACAGTGAAGGCTAATCAGATCGAATTCACCACTGTTGGTGCTGTGTGGGAGAGTGAGGAAAAGGAAATAGCCCTGGGGTGGAGGTGCTGATTGTTTCATAGAAGAAAAGGGTCATTTAGCACTGTCTACCAGTTACTTTCCCCCCAGATCCTCTGCAGGACGACAAGGTTTCTGGTCTCTGTATGTGCAAACAAGTATTCATATAGCCAGTAACACCTTAGCAATAAGAAAAGAGAGACAGTAGCAATTTTAGGTTCAAAATTTGACAGTAAAAGACAGTATTTTGAATGTTCCCTTTTCAGCAATGGGATTTGAACCATTTTGGCTATGGACATGGCTGGCTGGGCAATTTACCATTTTCTTTACCTCATGGCTCCCTTGCATTGTGTAGAGGAATTGTGCTTTTTTGCAGTGATAGTCTTTTTTTTTTTTAATATTATTTGTTTAGTTTTAAATTTTGGCTCTGTTGGGTCTTCGCTGCTGCATGAGGGCCCTCCCCAGCTGCGGCAAGCGGGGGCTACTCCTTGCCGCGGTGCACGGGCCTCTCATTGTGGTGGCTGCTTCCCCTGTTGCGGGCTTAAGTAGTTGTAGCGCGAGGGCTCTAGAGCGCAGGCTCAGCAGCTGTGGCTCTCGGGCCTAGCCACTCCGCGGCATGTGGGATCCTCCCAGATCAGGGCTCGAACCTGTGTCCCCTGCACTGGCAGGCGGACTCCCAACCACTGCACCACCAGGGAAGTCCCAGTGATAGTCTTTTAAAAATATATATATTTTGACAAGGGGGAGGCTCGGCCTGTGAAGGGGCAGTGGGTATATGGAAAATCTGTGCACCTTCCACTCAATTTTGCTGTGAACCCAAACTGCTTGAAAAAATAAAATCTATTTTAAAAAATGTGTGTGTATGTATGTAACAAAAGCGCATACTTTTTTTTTTTTAATTTTTTTTCTTTTATTTTTTGGCCACACCATGCAGCATGTGGGATCTTAACTCCCTGACCAGGGATCAAACACATAATCCCTGCAGTGGAAGCACAGAGTCCTAACCACTGGACCACCAGGGAACTCCCAACACATACATATTTTTTAAATAAAACAATATATAAAATAAGATTCTGTTCTGAAATATAACCCCAGGTAGTCTTTGTGTCTGTGGAGAGAGAGCTGCAGTAGGACCATGAGGGGCAGAGTTGGGTGTGAGAGCAGGGCTCCAGGACACGTGTCCGCTGCCAGGCTGTTCAGCCATCCAGAGCCCTGCTCAGAGCTGCTGGCCTCACTCAGTGATCTGTGGGGCAGCAGCAGGAGCACATATGGCCTCTGAGCACAGACTCTGGGCTCAGCCCTATCACCAGCTAGCTAGCTCTGTGACCTTGGCCAAATTACTTAAGCTTCCTTATTTACAAAATAGAGATTATGGGGTATTCATTGAAATGAGGTATGTAAAGTGATTGGCACTTAGTAGCATTTATTAAACAGTCTCTATCGTTATCTCTTTATTAGTAATACTCAATCTTAGGATTTCTAAATATTTTAATCAGAATGTTTTAGATCGGAATATGTTTTCCTCCTTGGTGTTATACAGTGGGTTTTAGTTGTGTTGATTTACTACTTAAGACTGTTACACTTTGTGAGGTTAGCTACTTGTTCTCAACTGCCTACAAAAGAGGGTGCTCATGTTCAGCTCTTTTTGGTTCCTAAGACATTTATTTTAAGACATTATTAGTTATGTGTGCTCAAAAAGAATGATGACTTAATATGACTTACTGTGATGTTTCCAGAAGAAATGAAGATTTCTCTTTCCTTCCACAAATTCTGTTATTTATTTGAAGTTACAGGTGGTACCTGATTATTGAATTTGAGAAAATAGCAGTTATAAGACTGACTTTCTTGTCTTGAAAAAATGAGAGTATTTATTACCAAGCTTACGCTAAATCTAGAACAGGCTTTCCCTAGCTATGTTCCATGGTACAAGATACTAGTAGGGGGTACCTAGAAAAAAGGGTTTCATGACCATGTACGTTTGGGAATGACTACTCTTTATTCTCATTCTTGGTGAATCACAGAGCATGTTAGCTTTTGAAAAGTTCTAAGAACCCCATAGTTAAGATTTCTTTAGCCCAGCATTTGTTTAGTTTTGATTAACAAAATATTTCCTAAGCTGCTGTCACTGTGGACACTTTTTTTTTTTTTTTTTCACAGAATACCTATAAGTATCTCTTAGCACTCTAGTGTTCCTTAGAATAGAGAAATTCTAAGAAATTTCTGCAGTTGGTTGGTTTTTAGAAAAATGGGGATTATCCAAAGTTGGTCAGGAAATTGAACAGGATATTCTGCTGTAACCGATACAGGTTAAGAGGGCAATGAAGGTTTGGGTGATAAGGGATCAAAAATAGATCTTTGGAAGCAAACGTTTTACTCCAGTAAGATGCTCTCAGATGAGGCACTGCATGTTACTGGAGGCTGACCTGGGCTGAGCTCCTGAAAGAGGCTGTTCTGCCAGCTGGCAAAGCCGTGGGCAAGCTTGCTGTGCAACCTCAGCAGGGCTTCCATTGCAGCTGCACAGGGCCAGGCTTGCAATAACTGTTCCGTAAATAACCGTGAGTCAGTCTGGCTTTGCTGATGATCTCGTCCTCTGAGGTTACAAAACATTGCTGCTGGCTGAGGCATCAGGGGAAGCTGCATCACAACTTGTGTTTTCCCTTTTGAAAAGACAAATACAGGTCCAGCATCAAGGAAAAGGTGAGGAGACACTTCCCCATAGGATCCTTCTGCCAGCATACCACTCCTGGCTTTCTTGGTAGTAACTAAGGGGAGTCCCTCAAAGCAACGTGGTGGAATGGAGAGAACAAGCAAACCTCACTTCTGGCACCATCCCTTCCAAGCTGTGTGACTCCAGCTGTGTGACTCTTTGTTTTAGAGTCAGTCTCTAAAACAGGAATCATCATGATGTTTAGCTTACAGAGAATCAAGTGAGCTAACATAGGAGAGAGGCTGATACAAGATGACACTCAAGAGATGTTAGTTTTCTTCTTTTCTTAGGGGGGCAGGCATCGTGGTCATCCCTTAACTAAGCTCAGGCCGTTGTCTCTGCAGACACTGCAGATCAGTAGGTGCAGCCCTGCATCACACCCCAATGAGAACTAGGCTAGGCTTTTAATCCCAGCCCAGGTACCTACTAGCTGTAGGAGCTTGAGCACTTAATCTCCTTGGACTCACTTTTCTCATCGTAAGATGGGGTTAAGAATAATTCTTGCCTACCTCCTAATTTTTGTGGAGTTCAAATGAAATACTATAGGTAAGGGGAAAGAAAGGGAGGCGTCTTTACTGTTTCTGACTGCGTGAGAGCTGATTCTTCATGGTCGTAAGAGAGCACCTCATTTTAAGTTCCTTAGTGGGGCAAAAGGGTGACCTTGCTATTCTTTCCACCCAGGAAATGTTGGCAGTAGATGCCCCAAGAAGACATAAGGTATCCGTCCATGTTCTTGCCAGAGAAATGGATTCTTGTAAGTATTGAGTATTGGCTTTTTCAAAAGTGTGTTTTTAGGCACGCGATAGCTGTACCATGCCATAGCCACAGCCCTTATAGACCACCAGGAAGTAAAGGGGCACAGAAGGGGAACTAACTGGAGACAGGGTCTCCTCTGTCAAAGCAAAAATAAGGGGAAAAAGGAAATGAGGCAGTGAAGGAGAGAGCCAACAGCAGAGGACACAGTGCCGAGCTGGCCACAGCTCCATAAGAAAACAAGGCCAGGTGCTGGTAGGGCATCTCCAAAGAAGCTGTGTGGAACAACTGCATGTGGCGGGGGAAGGGTGAGCAGTTTATCTGTCCTTCCCATCTCCTGTCTGTGACGGTTTGCCCCATGACCATTTACTCCCCCGGCCTTCCAGGTTGTTTTACTGGGTCCTTCCGGGTGGCCAGAGCCTCAGGGTCCAGTGAGGTCAGAGCTGGGCACTAAGGCAGCTGCGGCCAAGGCTATTTAAGCACAGTAACATCATGAACCATCATTAGGGACACTCTGGATAGGAGGCAGGACAAGCGAACAAGGCCTTGGGAGCACACACCCTAAAAGGATCTGAAAGGTACATGAACGGGACCTGGTGCAGATTTTTAGCTGAGTCTGGTTTGTGTTTGTTTGTTTGTTTGCTCTTGTGTACAAGTATCAGTAAGTGCAAAGCATTAAACCTTTTGTTTTTTATAGGTCCTGTGGTTGGAGAGTTCCCATGTCAAAATGATATAAATTTGTCACAAGCACCAGCCTTGCCACAAGTAAGAAATATAAATTTCATGTTAGCTTGCCCTGTTAGAGGACTTCCTACTTAGAAGGAGCTTGTTCACCAGGACACATAAGACCTAGAGATTTCAGGTTACGAGGTATTCGGGCATCTACTTTAGGTCTCCCTTAAAGACCAGGTTGCCATTCTTTCCTTTTTAGCTGCAGAGACTCAGCCTTTGCTCTTGTCCGCCTTGTCCTCTAGCTTGAACAGTTGTGTTACTCTGCAATGAGTCATCTCCAGCCACATTTATCCCAGCCTTTTCCATGGTGCTTGTGCATTTTAATCATCTGGAAAGGTTGTCATTTACTTGTAAGAAGAGGAAGCTGGCAGTGTAATTAGGCTCTTGCCGGTAGGGCACTCTGGCCTCTACCACTCCGCCAAAGCGGCGGTCCTGAGCCCTCAGTGGGCCTGCCCTCGAGTGCCCAGAGGAGAGCCAAGATTCTTCCCTCTGGCCCAGAGTCCCACTGGGGACATTCAGCATAGGTTTGCATAGACCCTCTGACCTTACTGATCCAGGAAGAGAGGTCAGTAGATATAATATGTAATATATAGTGTAGAAACTAGTGTGTTTATGTAAAAATAAAGTTTATGTCCTGTTCGGTCTGCTTTTTAGGCTAAATACACTAAGAGAAAACTTTTTTTCTTTGCAGCCTGAAGTGATTCAGAACATGACTGAGTTCAAGCGTGGTTTGCCACTGTTTCCCCTTGTGAAACCACATATTAACTTCATGGCTGCAAAACTCTGAAGATTCCTCACGTGTGGGAAAGTGCAAGTGGATGCATTCCTGAGTCTTCCAAGGGCTAGGAAAACAATCTTGGCCATTTTAATATTTTCTGGTTCACTATTAGAAAAACAGAAAAAAAAAAAAAAGTTGTCAAATGTCATTATGTAGAAATATTAAAAATCCAAAGTAATTAAATTACAAAATCTTATAGATGTAGAATATTTTTAAAATACATGCCTCTTAATATTTTAAAAGTTTTCTTTTCATTACTAAGAGAAATGTCCCTTATATAACAATACTTAAAATGATGGATGATATTCCTATAGAAACTTTCTTCCTTATTCTGTAAAATAGTCACTTGTCAGAAGAAAAATATGTTAGCTTTTTTCTAAAAGCCTCCTAGGTTGACAGAAAAGACTTAAAAACATGTAGAAAGATAATACCTTTTTAAAAATGGATCCTCAACTTTGCTTTCTACTTAATGGTTTCATGTAAATAATGGAGAACATTACGTTTGGCAGATAATGAACAAAGCAATGTAATTTTCTTTTATTAGTGAAATTGCTGATTATATAAGGCATGGTTTTAATCTTTTTATAGAATTTGAACATGTTTTTTATTCAAACTAGTAAAATGCTGGAAAACTCTAGAACACCCTACTTATTTACAGTGCTAGAAATACAGACTTACCTTACATCAATTTTGTCCCAAACTGAATTTCTCAGGATTACTGTGATTTGTTTTTTTCTGATTGAATTATATTGACATTCTTGTTCATAGTTGGTTTGCAGTGTTCCATCAGTGTCACTTTTTCCCATCAACACGTTGCTGTATTTATTTAACAGAAACAAACAGGGTCAACTTCAGATCCCACTGAGTGTGTGACATGCTTTTCCAACATCATCTATTCTAAACACCTGTAACTTTTTACTACCACGAAATTGCAGTCAGTATACGAACCAAAATATTTGCCCCATTATGAATATAAAAGGCAACACGTACACAGACACCTTTTTGGAGGTATAAAAAGGAAAGCCTTGGATTCTTCAATAGCGTGCTCTCCATAGAGACTCTGAATCCTGTTTTGCTACCAGTCTAATACTGCCTTAAGTGTAAAGTTACTTTTTGAATATATAAATTCAAACATACAAACACATAGATGATGACTGGAGTGAACTTTTAAAAAGTATTTTTTTTCATGAGATACAATTTTGGATGAAATTGTTACTGTAGATTTAACAGCTGTTTTGAAATATTTACTGTTATTAAAACTTAAAGAGAAATTGGAGACATACAGGCACTAGTAACAGTAAGTGGCCCTGTAGTTCACTAACTCAGGCGAAGTAAAGAATGGCATTTTCAAATGACATTTCACCTCCATATGACTTGATTTGCCAGGACTTCTTTCTGTAGAGTCATGTCTTTTCACATCTTAAGTTTTCACATTTGCTGTTTTTCTGAATAATCTGAATTTGGGGCAAGAATGATAATCCCAACTGTGGAGGCTGCTTTTGAAAGCGGGGCTCCATTTCTACTGTCAGACATATGTGGTGCTGTAACCATCTTTTTATCCCTGCCTTCAAGAGCTTCCTTGTATGAAGCCTGTCTTTGTCCATCAGAAGGTGCGTGAGTCATCATCACTTCCTTCTGGTTTTATGCATTTGTAGACTATGCAGCTTTTCATCAAACTGCAGATATATACGAGAGGGATCAAAAACTAGTCCTGAGTGCATAAATCCACCACTGGAAAAGTAAAAAATCCACTTATATCTTTTCTGTGGAAAATTATGTGCTACTGGGTAACTTTTTGCTCTTTAAAAAAAAAGGGAGGGGGTGAAATTGAACGGTGTCACTTTTATGAGAAAGTCACGTGAAGAAATCTGAACGGCATCTCACGTCGTCTTACAGGAGCCTGTGGTTGCTCTTGAGCGTACTCTAGCGTTGTCTGGTTTCCACTTTGGATCTAGAGCTACTGTTGGATCACTCAGGCATCCTTATGGATTCAGCTACATGGGTCCAAGCTGCAGTCCCTGAGCAATAACAGACTACCTGGCTACTGCTCTTTACTCAGCGCTTAGTAAATGAGATTTGCGAAACACACTAAGGTGTTAGTTACCCGTGACTTTTTGAAAAGTCTTCTTTTTCACTGCTTGATGTGGAAGAGAGAGCATGTGACACAGCCAGTACGTGGTAGAGTGCTAGGGTAATCCTGTTTACAATAAATTGCCTGAATTTCACCTCTGGAGTTTGCATTTGTATTATTTTTACAGTTTCAGTGGCCAGTCCTCAACCTACCTCTCAACATCCCGATTTGACGATGTTTCTTGCTTTCATTGTTCCCAATGTAGAAAGCAGTGGATTTTTTTTTTAAAGTGAATCTGGGTAACAGCGATTTAGTCAAATAAATGGGTCAATTTCACAGTCTTAAGAGTAGATCACTTTTGTAAAACAGGAATCTCAGTGTGAGAGGTTGAACTCCTTGCTGACCCCAAACCCAGAAAGATTTGTCCTGTGAGTTTCAGGGAGGAGAATTCAGAAGGTAGAAAAAATATTTCTCTCCTCATCTTCCTCGCATGTCTCCAGAGGCAGGTTAGGCAGATACCTTGTCCGATCCCTGGCTTCTTACTCCCTGTCAAAATAATCTTTCTACTCGTGTGGTTACCAGCTGGTTCAACCAAGCATTTCAAGAGGGAATCTGGTGGTTCTTCAGTTTCCAACCTAGGACAGTAGTGCAGGGCACATGGTCAGCTTCGTGCTCAGGGAGGACGCAGCTGCCCCATCCGGAGGCCTGGAGCCACCCCAGGTTTTAGGCCTTGGTGCAGTTTCCGCCTCTCTCATGGTGTGTGAGGGGAATCATCTGGTCCCCTTCTCTTAGTCGCAGCATGTTCATGGTGAAAACCAAGGATTCCCACATACTCATCTCCCTTTGTAAGGATGGTTCCTGCCCTCCTAAGCCCTCCCTGGAAGGGCCTCTGACCAGTAGGCTTCTAGATCCCTAGTGTTCTGTACTGCCCATCCGATGAAGTTCATTCACTGTCCTTATCAACCTGGACGTTGACCACTCCATGGTTTCTTGTGGCAAAGCGTCTTGGTAGTACTGAATTGCTACTTTTCTCACCCAGTCTTTTGACATGGGAGGACGATGATGAAAATCACCATCATCCCAGGTTTTCGGAAGTGAAAATAGGCTCAGAAAGGCTAAACAGTTTGCCCCAGACCGTGCAGGAAGCACGGATTCAAACCTCCCCTCAGATCTTTAAACTCTAGCTCTCATTGTTCCATGTGGATTTCCCGTAATAATGGGTACCAAGTCTACAAAGGTACTTGTGGAACAAAGTAGAAGGGCAGTTGCTTTTTACATGTGTATGAAACTTAACTTTTTTCACCGATACCACCTTAGTCTCCCAACCTTTGCCTATTTTGGAGGGAGTGAGACCAAGTCTCAGAGTCTGTGTGCCTCTCCTCCAGTCCTCTGTTGTTTCCCCTCTGCTGGACTCCCTTGTGGCCAGTTATCACCACTGGGATCTCCCTCCCTCTTGGAGTCAATCCAGACCCATGCCTCCTGGCCTGCTAGGCCCTTAAATCAATGCAAGCTCTCCTTGCTGTCGCCCCTGGAGTGATGAGATGATCTGGAATCCTTCAAGTGATTCTGAACGAGAGTGTGAAGAAGAGTCAAGTTCATCTGTAACCCCACCCCTCCAGGACCACCACATTTTTCTGCATTGTTCTTTTGCAGTCTTTTTCCCGTGCAAGTAGAATGGGGTCATATATTCAGTGTTACAACATTTTCCATAGTCTATATTGAGAATGTTCCACGAGGATACTCTTGGGGAGTTTGGTGTTTGCTGTTGCTGCCATTATTGTTGAGGTTTTGGTGTCACACTGTCCAGTCCTCTTAAGAGTGGAATATTTAGGGTGTTTTCAAACTCTGATCCATGATAAAACTCCTTGTGCAGACAGAGTATGTGTGTGGTTTTCTGATTATTTCTTTAAATCACTGGGTTGTAGAATATGAATATATCATTTAACTTCTTTTTGGAAAAGTTTTAAATCTACAGAAGTTGTAGAGATAGTACAGTGAATGCCCATATAGCCTTCACCCTGTATTCACCAGTTTAATAATGTTTGCTGCGCATTGCTCCCTCCCTCCCTCTCTCTCCGTAGATGTTGACTCCTCACCCCTACATACTTCATCACGTATCTCCTAAAAACATTGTCGATGTGTAGTCAGGAATTGGGTCTCACCCAAAGGTAGGTCTGGCCTATGTCCCCTTTGTTTTTGTTTAGACATTATAGACAAGTAATTTTGACAACTGAGATGAAAGAGGTACATTTCCTGAAAGACACAAATTACCAAAACAGACATGAAAGGAAATAGAAAATATGAATATTCCCTTAATCTGTTTTAAGAAATTGAATTAATGCCCTTTCCACAAAGAAAATCCCAAACCCAGATGGCTTCATTGGTGAATTCTATCAGACATTTAAGGATGAAATTATACCAATCTTACATTTTAGAAAGCAGGAGGGAACCCTTTTATGAGGTCAGCATTACCCTTATACCAAACTCAGACAAAGGTATTTCAAGTAAAGAAAGCTCTAAATCAATTACCCTTTTAAAAGTCCTGAAAGTCTTTAACAAAATGTTGGCAATGTGAATCCAACAATGGATAAAAAGGAATTTTTTTATACAGTTGATTTTCATATATTATACCAACTTTACATGAAGACAGAGTAGGAGGAATGCAAGGTTGGTATAATATTTGAAAATCAATTAGTATTGTTTACCATAGTGACAGAATTAAGGAGGAAAAACCACATAGTCGTTTCAATAGGTAGAGTAAGAGCATTTTACAAAATTCATACTAACAGCTCTCAGCAAACAAGGAATGGAAGGGAACTTCCTCAACCTAATAAAGGGAATTTTTAAAATACGTACTGGTCACATCATAAATAAGGATAAAATATTGAACACTTTGACCCTAAGAGATGCACCAAGATGAGGATGTATGTTTTCACTACTTTTTTCAAACTTGTATATGAGGTCCTCGTCAGTACAATAAAGATTGGGAAGAATGAAGTAAAAAGTGTTCACAGATGGCATGAGCACGTACCAAAAAAACTCTAAGGACTACAAAAATGGTACTAAATTGATTTAACAAGATTGCAGGAAATAACATTAACAAGTCAATTTTATGTCAACAAATTATACTGTCCACAAAATTCAAATAATTTATAATAGCACCAAAAAAGTATTTAGGGGCAAAATATTTTTAAATGTGAAAAACCCGTACACTGAAAACTTCAAAACGTTACTGAAGGAAAGTTTTTAAAGACCAAAATAAATGGACAAAATCCATATTCATGGATTGTAGGACAGTGCTTTTAAGATATCTGTTTTTCCCCACTGAGCTATAGATTCTAAAGCAATGCTTGTCAGAATTCCTGCAGGCTTTTTGGACAGACATTAAAATCAGACAAGCTGATTTAAAATTTTACATGAACACGCAAAGAATCTTGAATAGCTAAAATAATTCTTAAGAAGAACAAATTTATCCTTCCTGATAGCAGGGCTTATATGAAACTATAATCAAGCTAGTGAGTATTGGCCTAAGGATTGACATATGGATCAATGGAAGGGAGCAGAGTCCAGAAATAGAGCCCCACCTTACTTTCAATTAATTTTTGACTAAAGTGTCATGGTAATTTGATGGGAGAAAAGTAGTCTTTTCTATGAATGGTTCAAGAACAACTGGATATCCTTATGGGAAAAAAAAAAAAAAAAAAGAACCTTAACCCTTATCTCACAGTATATACAGAATTAACTCAGAAAGGCCTACAGATTTAAACATAAAAACTAGAACTGTAAAAGTTCTACAGGGAAACTTAGGAGAAAATCTCTTCGAAGTTTGTTAGGCAAAAATTTCTTAGGATGCAAAAGTCACTAACCATCAAAGAAAAAATGGACATATTGAAGTTTTTCAAGTTTAAAACTGTCTTCTCTTTAAAAGACACCATTAAGAAAATGGCAAGCTGCTGACTGGGAGGAAATATTTACAATACATAAATCAGACAAAGGACTTAACATATAAGAATATACAAGAAACTCGTAAGACAAAAACGTTGGAAAAGAGTTCAATAGATGCTTCACCAAAGGAGATGGAAGTAATGGTCAATATGTACACGAAAAGGTAACATCATGAGTCATGGGGAAATGCAAATTCAAGCCAACAGGAGAGCAAAACTACAGTGAGAAGGAAGATGGGTGATTGCCTGGAGACTGAGGTCAGCAGATGGGATCAAAGGACATAAGGAAACTTTTTTAGAGAAGGCTCATCGACCTCCTCGGTGACTGGGTAAGTCTCTCTTGGTCTTGGATCTCCCATCTTGGTTGACGATTCTGAGTTTTATTCAGTGGGTGGTAAACTTGTTATGAGGAGTAGGTTTTCCTTGAACTTAAGGCAGTTCAAGAAGAGGTACCTGAATTCTCAGTTGAAAGACACTGGGAAGGTTGCTCAGTTCAAATGCGCTGAGAAAATTGTCTAGCTGAAAGACACTGGGAAGGTTTGGACTGGGTGATTAGGTAAGGGCTAACCTGGTGTCTTTCCTTGAATGGGCTACTTTAACAGAGTTTGTTGGAATAAAAATGAAGACACCATATGAGAGCTTTTAGCTCCAAAACAAGAGACAAAATGCTCCTCCCAGCTGGTTACAGCTTTCTCAGGCAACTGAGAAATTTACAGGAGTGGTGGAGGCAAGTCCTCATACCATGCAGCGGTCCCGTAGAGAAACCCATCCATTAATTAAAGATACGCTCATCTGGGGTTGTACACATTAGAACTGGCCATCCAGTGCTTGAGCACCCATGGTGGTTTTAGTCTGCTGAAGGGAGAAACCCAGACACGCTTCTAGGAGGAACTTGCATTATCTCCCTGTGCCTTTGAGATGTAAAGGTACCTGATCTTCTTAGGCATCTTGTTCTGTCTTGAGAGCTTGGTTTGTTGATCAGTGAGAAAACTCTTTCTGGCCTCTGCCATCTGGAAGGTACTCATACAGTGTACATTTGGAAGCCAGTTGAAGAGACTAGGATTCCGAGCAGTCCCTTTGGCCCTGTCAGCTCTCAGGAGAGTTTGTCATAAGGGTTCCCAATCCATAAGGGGCCTTCATCATGTCAACTTTCATTGGATCCACCTGTACAATAAAGGCCTTTACTTTCTTAGACTATTTTTGCAAATAA